GGCCCAAAACGTCAGCTTTCCTGCTGCTATGATGCTGCTTGGCCTGCTGTGTTCATCCAGCTCTACACCTTGTTATCTCAGATTTTCCAGTTCCTACTATCTCTGAATGATTCAAGCAGACCTCTAACTTACAATCTGATGATAAAATCTGAACCCGTCAAAGTCATTAGGCCATGGAGTGCCACAGATCAGGTCACAGATTTTGAAAATTACACACACGAGGACATTAATACTTTTTCTAATGACTATCTCACCCTTCTGGTCTGGTATCCGGAATAGCCCTGTCCAGAGGAATCATGTCACTGAGATACACGTTGAAATGTCCCTCGTTCCATTTCTCCTTTGCTAATTTTTCATGTTCTTTTGGCACAATTGCTCGATGCCCAAACTGACCAACGGCTTTGGAATCACGAGGGGATATGGTTATATCAATGCCCAAAACTTTATGCACTCCGACAACAGAATCTAAATGAGTAAATGAATAGTTTAGAATATTGCTATCGCTCTGTAATTCGTTTGTTTCGTTGATTTTAAGAGTTGCTTCCATCGTAATATCTTTCGAAAAATCGCTTTCCTCAATGGCATACGTCTGATTTTTAATTAAATTGTTCATTGCCGTTTCGTTAATTTCAAGTTCAGTCTGTGCCTTTGTGGCATTGGTTAATAAACCGCTTACAACAGTCTTAAATTCAGCCTGTTTTAATACAAGACCCTTTATGCCATTGATAGTGGCGGATTCATTTTTTGTTCCGTTCCAAACTTTAAAAGTGGGGGCTGTTTTCCCATTGGATTGTTTTACTGTATCATTGACCGGTATAGCCACTGTATTTGGTTCGATTGCCACGGCAGATGAATCGACCTTGAGCCATTCTCCCAGCGCGGTGTTTTCAGTGTTTGCTGCTGCTTCAGTTGGTAAGGGGACTGGGTGAAGTGGGGAGCCTGGGGTGGCCTCTACTGTGCGGTCGCTATCGGGCTTTTCTTCCGCCGGCTTCACGCTTTGTTGCCGGCTTCCTTTGGCCGACCTGCCCCGTTGGTCGGGCTGAAGCTGCGACTTTTGACCAGCAGGAGTCACCGATTGGACCATGACTTTCGCCCCTGTTGGGGGGTGCTGAAAGGGCTTGCTGAGATCGGGCCTCCGTACGTCGGATACCTTCCCAGGTAGTGGGGCGGGGTGGGAAGCTGCGAGTGCCGGCCGGGGCCGCCATGCAAGCGTGTGGAGGCGGCCGCCATCTCCGCGGTGTCGAGACTGGGGAGCCGTTGGCCGGTTCCAGAATGTTCCGGGGGGCAGGTAGAGAGCGCGGCCGTTGGTCGGGGGGCGCGTGCCCAGTCGCACGCGATGTTTCGCCCGCCTCCCGTCAATGTGCCGCCCGCCGGCCGCCTGCAGCCTTTCGGCGGCTTCAGCCGCAGAATCTTCGGCCGGGACGGAGCGGTTTCCATGGCGAGCCCACCGCCCTGAGTCCCCCTCCTCGGCAAGCCCGTAAACGCCTCCGGCCCGTTTTCTGAACATCTTGTGCAGCTCCTGGTCTTGTAGCACCTTCGCCCTCAGTCGCTCCAGCCGTACCAGCTCTTCCCTGGAAACTCTGCTGTTGATCTCGGTGAAGGAAAACCGTAGCGCTGCCATGTCAAAGATCAACCAGATAATCGAGGCGGCAAAAATAATCGCTAGGATCCTGCCGCTGCCTCGAAAGAGTTTCCTCATTTTATTGACCATTTATTTCCTTGACCTTAATACAGGCTGCCCCCCCCCCCTCTCACCCGTGCAATGATGTGGCGATGCCCCTTTCTGCTTCACGGCGTCTCATCCACTCAGCCCCTGCCTGCCTGCGTGGCATTTCAGCAATCGGCTTCACCGGAACGATCCAACTGTGCAGCGGTGATAATGCTGCAATAACACACCAAGACACTTAACACCTTCAAGTATAATAATAAATATTTACAACCACTTCAATCCTGAAGCAGGTGTTCAAACCATACAGTCATTACTCCTGCCTTTAAAGTGCACCGGCCACGTGTCAAGTTCACATCCTTCTCGGGAACAAGGAGAGACTTTCAGTGTAATTCCTGGAGTTTGATTGGTTTGAATTTATTCGTTTCTTCTGATATTATTTTAAGCCTCGCTTGTATTTGCATGGTCAACGAAAGTTTAAATGCCGAACAACTGCAAAGAAATATGAACACGATCTTATTATTAAATCCTATTTAGTTTGATCTGACAACATTTTAGCCAACTGTTGTCTTCTCAGGTTTCGTCAAACTTTTAGTGTAGGTAAGTAAGACCATTCCTTTAGTCTAAAGTCTGGGCCAGAAAAACAATTTCAACCATCCATTGTCAGTTGTATTAAACAATGCGCTATGAAACTATCGACAGCACAATTAAGTGCAGTGTACAGTTTTTTCCTGTCTCATTTTCAATCTTAGAAAACTGGCCCGGTGACTCACTTTTACTCTTTCCATATCAGCCTCCATGTAGCCACACCAAAATTATGAGATTTTTACACAGTATACCCATATGAAACAGGAATTGGAGGGAGCCTGCCCAAGTTCATTTCAACGGGTGCTAAACAGACAAAACTTTCGAGCTATAATTCTGGGTTGGATTTACCTTTATTTTCCTGGCTCTAATGAAGGTTCGTTGTATAACTGGCTAGAAGATTCAATTGGTGATTACAGAAATGTAAGGGCTCAGATATATTTATTTTTAAATTTCATTGTCAGCCTTGTTGAAAGCACTCACACCTCTGTCAGAAGGTGGTGGATTCAAGAATTACCCCAGAGACTTTAACAATTGTCTGGGTTGATTTTTTTTAAATTTCAAAAATATACTTTATTCATAAAAAATATCTTTATATACATACATAGTCACTAAAACAGTTTGGTTCTGTACAGTAGCACAGGAAGAGACAAAAACAAATTGAGAATGACTGTATCCAATAAAGAATCCCAAAGAATTTCAAATACTCCAATATCGTCCAAGGTGGCAGCAGAGTAGGATACTTCAGCCGGAGCTCCTCTGCTCCGCCCATTATTTTTCTTTTTTTTTCCTTTTCTTGAATTTTTTAAAAAACTTTTAACTTTCTAAATTTACTCAGAGGAGAATGGAGGAGATGAGTCCCAGACCGGAGGCCGGTGTGGGAGGCGAGTCCCAGACCAGAGGCCGGTGTGGGAGGCGAGTCCCAGACCAGAGGCCGACATGTGAGGCAAGGCCCTGTGCAGACTGGAGGTGAGACCTCAAGTTTTGAAGCCTAGCGTGGTCTGGAGATTTTGCCTGGTGTGGTCTGGAGGCTAGGTGCTGGCACGGACTGGGGTGAAAGTACTTTCCTTTTTATTCTTATGCTGGACTTTTAATTTATTATTCTTTCAATTTTGTACAAAATACTTAAGTTGTACCTAGATATCTTGTACCTAAGATGGCGGCATAAGTGGCGATATTGCAAACTTCTCACTGCATTCATTCGAGTGTACGTGAAAATAAAACTAATTTATGCATTCATTCATATCTTACCTGTACAAGAACATACTTGCATATGTTTGAGAGACTGGGAGGGTCCAATAACTGAGCAGAACCCCATTTAACTTTGTCTTTCCCCATTGTGCCTTGGCAGCAGCTGCCCCAAGCTTTAGTGTGTCCCTCATCACATAGTCCTGGACTTTGGAATGGGCCAGTCTGAAACACACGGTCGAGGTCAGCTCCTTGCTCTGGCAGACCAAAGAGTGTCTTTCACTGAATTGATGGTCTTGCAGGTGCAGCCAATGTTTGTTTAATGTGCGCTCTGGGGAACAGACCGTAGAGCACAGAGTCCTGGGTCACAGAGCTGCTTGGGACGAACCTCGACAAAAACCACTGCATCCCTCTGCAGACTTCCTTTGCAAAGGCACATTCCAGAAGAATATGTGTGATAGTCTCTACCTGCCCCCCCATCACACCGATGCTTCGAGGGCAGCATGCAGTAGCACAGAGAGTCTGGGCACACTTGAAAGATCTTACAGGTAACGCTGCAATTGTCCGGGCTAAAGCTTTATTGCTGCACTGAAAGATCATAGAATCCCTACAGAATGGAAACAGGCCATTTAGCCCATTGAGTCCACAACAACCCTCTGAACAGCATCCCACTCAGACCCAACCACCCCACCCTATCCCTGTAACCCTGCATTTCCCATGGCTAATCCACCTAGCTTACACATCTTTGGACTGTGGGAGGAAGCTGGAGCACCTGGCATTGACCCACACAGATACGGGGAGAATGTGCAAGCTCCATTCAGATAGTCACCAATGGTGGAATTGAGCCCAGGTCCCTGGCACTGTGAGGCAGCAGTGCTAACCACTGAGCCACCGTGCCACCCCAGAATACTGCACTGTTGAAGGTGTCACCTTTCGGATGAAATCATAAAATGAGGCCCTATTTAGGTGAATATAAAAGATCATATTAAACTATGAGGAACAGGATGTTATCCTTGATCCCTTGCCTAATATTTATTCCTCAAGCAATATTCCTAAAAAGGAGAGAAAAGTAGAAATTGCTGGAAACAGCAGATCTGGCAGCATCTGTGGAAAGAGTTAATGTTTCACGACCCTTACTCAGAAATAACCCAAAACATTAACTCTAATTTTTCTACACAGATGCTACCAGACCTGCTGAGCTTTCCCAGCAATTTCTATTTTTGTCTCTGATTTACAACATCCGCAGTTCTTTCAGTTTTCCTAAAAAGATCATTTTGGCCATTTTCTCATTGCCATTCTTGGGTCTTCGTTGCTTGTTCTACATTACAACAGTGACTACCCTCCAAAAAGTATTTGACTCGATATAAAAATTTCAGAGATTTTTACTGATATTGTGAGAGGTGTTAGTTAAAGCAATTTTTTTTTAATTTAACCCACTGGCTTATGTCAGTCTTTTGAGAAGTCAATTACAAATTCTTTGGTGAAGCTCTTGATGTGATTTATCTCTACTAAGCATTTCTTTGTAGATGAAGATTTTATAGATGTGTACTCATTGGTTGCAGGCTGCTGGTGGGTAGTCAGGAATATCCGTGGTTAACAGATTCTCCCTTAGCAAATGCAAGTAGGTTTAGTTACTTTAGTAGGTTTGGCACAATTCAATCTATCCTTCTCCTTTTCTCTATCGACTTGCTGTTTGCTCAGTCTCAAAGGTCTTCTGCAGTTCTCCTGATGTAGCATCTCCAGGCATCACAATCTATGGCCTGTATTTCCCATTGGCAGTGGTTGATGTAGCACACAGAGAGGAACATCTTAAGAGAGTCTTTGAAACATTTGTGTGGGCCCCTGTATTCTATTTATCAGTGGTCAGCTCTCCATATAACACCATCTTCGGCAGATGTCTACCCTTCATCTGGGTAATGTGATCTCTCCCCACTCTTCTCATGCACTTAACTAGCTATTTCCACAACTTCAGTGTTTATGATGCATACCTAGAAATGCATCTCCAGACTAGTGCAGAGGCAGCACTAGTTAAAGCACTCTAGATGGCGTAAATGTCAGCAGTACATAACTCAAGCTATACAGAAGAGTGGTGAGGTCTATGATTTTGTGCACTTTGAATTTACTCCGTGCTCTAAAGGCTGTGGTTGCTCCACACATGTTTGCAGATTATGCTGAATGCACTGTTTGCTTTATAATGCCTATTGTTCACTTCCGTCTGTATGGTGGTGTCAAAGGAGACAGCATTCATCTTGGTTCCCTCAATGCCAATGCTTGTTGGTCTAATTTCTTCTTAGTGTGCAGGCTGATGCAGTATGTTGGCTTTCTTTTAGTGTGAAGGGTCATGCCATTTCAGAAAAATGCGCTTAATATGATGCAGTTCTGACTGACTATGAGCTAGGAGAGCACCACTATCAACCAAAAAAGTTCACGCATGAGTTTTTCCTGTCTTTGTGTGAGCCTGAAATGTCTGAGGGAGGATGAAAACACTCCAGAGGTGTGTGTGAACTCTGTCATCTTTGAGGTCTTCTGATGTCTATAGCAACATTATAATGAAAAAGATGGTGAATAAGTTCAGGGCCAGCACATATCTTTGCTTCACACCATTGGAGATCTGGAAGAGATTTGAGAAATTGTTGTTGCGCTTGACTTGTCTGTAGTAATTTTCATGAAACTGCTTTGCCATGGCCCAGAACCTCTGTGGGCATCCATGTTTTTCAAAGATTTTCCACAGCTCATCTATACTCATGGTGTTGATTGACTGGGTGAGTCTACAAAGTGATGCGCAGATGCGCAGTCTCAAAACATTTTTTTTTGTCTGAATGCAATTACCACGCCATTGGTTTCTCTTTTGCTCTGAAACTGCACTGACTGTCTGTTTTTGTGATGTTCTTTTGAGGTGTGATAGGCACAAGCCTACTCATAAGTACTTTAGCCACGTTCTTCCCAGTCAATAGAAAGAAGGGTAATTGCGTAGTAGTTGGATCATTCTGGCTTTGTTTTTGTATAAGATGATGATAATAGCATTATGAAGATCTTGTGGAATTCTGCCGTGTTCCTAATAGGCCACGAAAAACTCAAACAGCATGGAATGTAGGGTAGGGCTAACATGCTTAAAATCTTTACGTTGGATTCTGTCAACTCCAGGGATTTTGATTGTTACCTAGTTGATGGCAGTTACAATTTCCTCCAGAGTTGGGCTGTCACATAGTTTGTTTTTGGCAGGTTGTTGTTGGTTCTAGTTGATGGTAGTATCATCCAATTTCACTTAGCATCGAAGAGTATTTCACAGTTCCCTGATCAGTAATCCTTTGGTGTCTCCTATCTTGCCATTGGTGATCCCCAGGATTTTGGTTTGAAATACTAGACCATTGACAGATCATAGTGCTTCATTGAAGCTTCTTATGTCATTAGTATCAGGATATGGTTTTTTTCCTCTCGGCAAGTGATTTGGATAATCATCAGTTTACATTGAAGGATGCTGCATGTTTGACCAGAGGCTTTCTTTTTCTTTTGGCTGGCTAACTGAGCCAGGAATATATTGAGTGATAGAGGTTGTA